CTTCAAAAACTCTCCAGCGTGGTTTGTATGCCATTGTAATGCCCTTTTACATATGATTATTTTCCCACACAATTAATTGACAGTCCCCAAATCTTCATGTAGCTTCACAGCTGCAGATATTTAAACACTACATCGTTACCTGGTATGTCCCACAGGTACACTTCACCTGTGAGTTATGGTTATTTTGACCCGAACAAAGTGACTGCTACCATCAGCTCAGCACTGGTCATACACATTTAAAATTGATTAAAATATTTGCAGTAATTTACATGTTTAAAAGCTATGGACATGGAGCTGTGATAAATGAAGATTATCTCCCAGAATGTATTCTTTATTTTAAATACTAAAGCATCTGGTACCCTGTTTTACATCTGCCCTGCTGTCCAATGTAACAAATGACTTGATCTGGGTAATTTGAAGTTTTTCCCAAACTTTGGCTTATTTGGGTGAGTGAGATAGTGCCGTTCACATTGTTTGTAGAGATTACAGACTGTAATCAGAAAAAACCCTCTGAAGTACCCTCCACAATGACCTCACAACACAGGCTTTTAGAAACAGATGCTGACATGATATGTAGCAGCAGAGACTTCAAAATATATCACACCTCATAATATAAAAGACCTGGACAGAGCATGTAGAAACATACTTAAGATTTTATTGTCCTGAAAATTGCAGTTCAGAGTATATTTCAGTGGAGTATCACATTTCTTGTTTCTTAACATGAAACATGAATTCTACTTGTTTCTAAAGCAGAATGTGAATCCCTGAATACCACAGCAGCCAAAGACTCAAGTGTAACAGAGGAGGAACCTCTCTATTCTCCTGTCCAGAAGGTAAGACTGATGGTAGTTCTGGCCTACAGTCATTTCCTCTCAATTTGACCAATTAGACCTTATATGTGATATTGAATCACCAACTGTACACACACAAACCTACACTACACACAATGTAGTGTATGATATATTCATTTGTAAATTATAAAGTGGTTGATCTTACAATATTTTACCATATTGTCTTACAGGCCACAAAGAGCAGAGA